TTGCTACGTAAAATTTAGCCCTTTATTTTAAAATGTTTTATTGAATTTAGAGAATTTTTAGAGGTCTCCCTTGCACCATGTTGCAACTCCGCATGGACCTAGTGTTACTAATTGAAAAGAGGGTGGCACTTTTGACGATATCATCCATAATAACAAATATTAAGTTGCTACGTAAAATTTAGCCCTTTATTTTTAAATGTTTTATCGACTTAAGAGAATTTTTAGAGGTCTCCCTTGCACCATGTTGCAACTCCCCATGGAACTAGTGTTACTAATGGAAAAGGAAATTCATTAAATTGAACATCAATCATATGAAACAATTCTTATTCAATTAGTTTTACTAAAGCATTTTACTCAGTAATATCTGACCAACTAACTTCATAAGTGAATAAAATTCTTTCTCCGAAAAGTACAAATAAATCAAGAGTTAATAACTAAATCATATTGGGTTGAGATTTCCATCACTATTATATATAAACAATTGACAACGGAAGCTGAAGTGCGATGACCAGAAGGCAATTAATCAAAGTGACATATCTCTGATGCCTTGACTCTTCTACCAATGAGTTGTATCCGAAATGAATTAATACTTGATATTTATGCTCGCAATATTTTTATTGGATTTATGTAACATGAAAGGAGAATAAAATGGTTTATATACATGGGATGCATTCATCTTGTCTGTGCTTGAAAGCAGATCGGATATAAGATTGAGGACAACTTTTTTTACGAGAAAATATTGGATCCGTTCACAATCCACAATTTGAAACATGTTCTGAATTGTGGAATACTAGCAATTTATCATGATGATAACATCCTAAATCTTCAACAAAACATTGGGTACCTCTTGCAAAGATTCTTTTTAAAAGAGAATAAGGATAAGAGACAAAAGACAAGATAGTCTCTTTGGGAGGAGGCTATGTTATCTCCAATAGAACATTATAATTTAATGAGAAAAGGAAGGTGGTAAACTGTTTTAACAAGGAGAACATATATTGGTAAGTTTTTTATAATTACATATGTATATGACAAGTTTATAACCATATATTAACTCCTCAAATGTCCAATAAAATTTATCACATTCTCTACATTAAATATTTTGCTCCAAACAGTGGCCTCTCTAGCCTACCCCCCAATGTATTGCGTTGTTGGGACATAATATATTATATTCTATATAGACACTTTTTGATCCGAAAACCAAGGTGATGTGTTCCAGTACCGTAATTTGCAGATTAGTTATGTATTAAGTTGTGAAATTTACTCATAAATATATGATGGATATCATGATCAGTTTATGGTAGAATTTTTTTTAACACTACATCCAATATTATTTGATTGTCATATCCATGATTTTTGAGAGCTTGCATATTCACATATCTTTATTTATTGCATGTACACAATACTCAAAATCATACATGAACCTAGCACCATATAATCAAGTTCAACCTAGCTTAACACCAATTAATTATCTCTAATAAATCCATCCGTATCGCATTCTCAAGAACGTTTCATGATCATAAAAAATTGAATTTGTCCTCATTTTAAACTAAGATGTTGGTCAAGATCAAAAGAGGTCAGAAGGGGCAAGTCAGAGGCCTTTGAAGCTTGCAGAAGATGAGCTAAGAAAATTGGAGACAAAAGGAACAAACTATATGAGATTGACGGATTGTGGGCTACTCATTTATGGAAAATCCTAAATCAATTAGGTTTCTCACTTACATCCACATAGCTGAAGCAAATAGTGGACCCAAGATCCCCAAAAAAGAACACGTCCAACTCAAAGGCCAAAATTAGCTTCGTTCATGATATGAGATATTTGTGTTGTATCATCTATCATATAAAACAGTGCGAGGGACGAATCACACAATGTCAGAACTGGTGGATGGAGCTAAGAGAATTAGAAACAAAGGTACAAAATTATATTAATTGATGGATTCTTGCTACTATTTACTAACTGATGGAAAATTTTAGATCTATTGGGTTTCTATTATATTCACATAACTGAAGCAACAATAACCCCAAAAAGAACAGAAAATTCAACTCAAAGGCCAAAATTAGCTTCGAATAGTATGCGACATGTGTTGTATTGTATCATGTATCATATAATATAATAAAAGGGGGCAAATCATACAAATCTCATCATTGTGAATATATGATATTACAATATAAATTATAGCTTGGTACATGATATGTGATCTTTGCGTTGAATCATGTATCATATAATACAGTAAAAGGGACGAATCACACGATATTGAAACTGGTGGATGGAGGCAAGAGAATCAGAAACAAAGGAACAAAAATATATGAGATTGAAGAACTTCGGGATACTAATTTATGGGAAATCCTAGATCAACTAGGTTCCTCACTTATATCAACATAACTGAAGCAAATATTGGACCCAAGATCCCCAAGAAGAATCCAAAATCCAAATCAAGGGAAAATATTATCTTTGTCCATAGCATGTGATATGTGTTGTATTGTATCATGTATAATACACGATATTACAATAGGTCTCATACCTTTTCTGCTTGTATCAAATCATTTAATATGGACCGTGTATCATATGATGTAATCAGCTAACGGTACTATTCAGAACGAAATAGCATACCTTTGATTTTAACAGCATATATAAGGATGCAATAAAAGGTTGGCATAAATGTCAACCAGTCAGCCACAGATTACACTCTTTGCAAGATGTGGAGAGGATCAATGAATTGTTCATGACGATTGAATTTTAGAAGAATCATTGATACAGTTGGTAAGGGGAAAAAACAGAATTGACGGCTTGTTTACCTGTACAACTTTAAAGATGGCAATCAAAAGCTGCACAAAGCTTTCGGATGAAAGGTTCCTCAACTTGCTTGCTAGAGATAAACCACTACCTAAGACATTATGCATCATATAAACTAATCAAAAATTAGGCATGAACTGAAATTTCCAACTATGTAAGTAAGCACAATAAGAAATGATCATACCATCTGAATCTACAGTCCTTTCTCCACTCAGGACATCAGATTCTATTGGCCGAGCTAGTAAAACAGGCAGCAACTCAGCAACTGTACTTTTGATTGCAGCTTTCATTTCAGTAATAAGTGTATCACGGTAAATCCTCAGGACGGCAGGAAGTTTTACCTGAACAATTATAGTTAAATGATAAGAAAACACTTCGGAGATAGAAACCCTCACACAAGACACACCCGAAATAATCTTCATGGCACATGCGACAGTCAACGTAAGAAAGAAATTGCAAATTCAGTATAACAAAAAATCATCATGATCACATACCAGTAAAGCCCACCAGCATATTTCACAAAGTAAAGTCCAAACAAACTTTGCAAGAGTCAAGGTGTAAAACTCACTCGACATCACTTTTATTTTTAACAGAGTGCAAAAAAGAGTCGGGGTTAGTTTGCATTCTAGAATCTAGACACGTTTTGGTTAAAACACAAGCTTATGTAAGTTACAACAGTCAAACAGAAATGGTTACAATCCTATAAGCTCGTAGCTTGGAAAAATAAATATAAAGATATCAATCAAATGGAAATACCACTATTATCATAAATGAGAACAAAGCAAAATTCACAATATGCACAGTTCAGAAATGAGTGACACAAATGTCAACTATCTGGCATGGATAGATCTCATAGACAACTGACCTTCTTCATTGAATATATCTTCGACTATAAAATCCCATCAAGGAAACCCCATTAGGCATATACTGTTCACAACATATGCATGATATGTTGAACCAAAATGGAACAGAAACTAGGAAAAAAGATTTGAATCTGAAATCTAGATATCATTTTGGTTCTAGTTCGCATATCACGCTATCGGTATTAGAAATCCTGACAACTTTTGCAGTTTCAGATTGGAATTATTGGCACATGGAACACTCGGTTGAATAACTAGGTTGCTAGTCTTGTTGTATTTCCCCCCAATATATCACTGTCAAATACGTTTGGTACTTCAACTCTCAGATCTCGTCCTGTTTGAGTAACAATCATTATTTCGATATGTATTAATTGTTGTTAGGAATTACGGGCAGATTAGGTGGTGCCAAATGGATCAAATCGGCCTACTTAAATTATGAAACATTATAGTGAATACGTACTAGTCTTGACCGTACTTCAAAACATGGAAGTTTGATTTTGGTTCCAAATTTGGATATCAATTTGGTTCTAGTTCGCATATTATGGTATCTGTATAAGAAATTTCGACAATTTTTCCAGTTTCAGATTGGAATGATTGGCACATGGAATAGTCAGTTTAATAACAAGGTTGCAATTGCTGATGTCTTTGTTTTATCTCGCATGCTTAAAATATGATACATTATGGTGAATACATAGTTGTATCGATCATACTTCAACCCATGGAACAACCTAATTTACACCGCTAATTGCTTCATACTTTATATGGGGGAAAAACCTATAGGAACTATGAGAGGATTCATGAATCCAAACCTCTATATTGCAAAAGTATGAGATCAATGAACCTCAGGTATTTAAAAGGTAGCTTGCCAGTAAACTTTAAGTGGCTTACAGAAAAACCGATTAAGAATGCGGGGGTAATTAGTTCAGTGTTTGGATGGGACCTCTATTCACCAACATATCCATGATTAGGTCCATTTTCTCATCGGAAAGAATAAAGAAATAATAACACAACGGCATGAACAAAAAAGAAAAAAACAAATGTTTCAATAAGACAATACAAAATATTAATTTGATAGCTTATAACCGCATAAAAATAAAATAAAATTAATGCAGCTAAAGTAGGACTGACTGTTCTCAGCAAGCCAACAATGAGTGGAAGCAGGCGGTCTTGTAAAATAGAGCTTTCATCATCATTCAACTCTGCCTGCATAAAAGCGAACTGCACTCATTAATATAATACGTGACAGTGTGACATTGTACAACCGCTACTTGGAAATGACTTAGATAATAAGCAGAGACCATGCAACAACATAACCATGAACGACAAAGTGCTGGGATTTAAATCACTTTAAAAGCAAGACAATTTTCAAGTATGAGGGGTAAATAAAATTATGAAAAAGATACAAGAAGGCTGTTCAAGCAAGAAACTGTATATGCACATAGGTGAGCATAACTTGGGGAAAACAACAACAAAGAGAGAGCCCCCTCTTTGAAGCTAAAAGAAAGAAAAAGATCCCATATTCAATAACGGGACACATTTTCCATCCATTGATTGAACGCGCATGACCAGCTTATAAAATCATTTCCCTTCGCAAACATAACTGGGAGTTTAAGATTTTATACCTGATTTAAATAACAAAAAAACAAAAATGAAATTAAGTTGGCTGCAGGACTCTTTTTCACTCAGACGTAAGGATGACACATCTGCTATGAGTCTTGAACCCTACGATAATGAAGGGATCAGCACCATTTGCCAGCAATAACCATAGCTTATAAAAACTATTTTAACTTAACTACAAAACTCAGAAATCTATAATGAGTATAAGTAAACATCATGATGAACTATTACAGTGATGATAAACAAACCAGCATATTGTATATGATGTTGATAACTATGACGCTACAAGTTTAGGAAGGTCAGTACGAAATCCTAAGAAGCTTGGATTGTTTAGTTTCACTAGTTGTTTAACCATTTATGAAAACCAAAGGAAAATTCAATTATTCAATCAGTCATTCAAAAAAAGACCAATCAGTAATAATAATAAGAAATAATGGATATGAAGTGGCGGCCCATTTTGCTAAATGAACTACCAAGAGATAAACATGTGGTCAGAACCACACTACTAGTCACATCAGATGGGTGGATGTCACCATCCTTTATCTCTTGCTAGCTCATTTAGCAAATGAGCTGTCACCTCATGACCATCAAACACTAATAATAATATGACAAATAAAAAGAAGCAGAAGCTCACACACCATTAGAGACTCAATAATAAACATGATGTGGGTGCAGAAGGTCTACGCACCATTAGTGACTCAATAATAAACATGATACGGGTTTTTACTCTTAGAAAAGGCCGTTCCGACATTGCTTTTTAAAAGTCAAATAAATCACATGCCCTGTGCATGTAACATATGGGATCACCGGTTTAGGATCCAGTGGGAACTCAGATCCTCCAAGTTTTTCTTGCCAAGCACAGGAGGATGAGATGAAATGCAACTAGTTTCTACTAGATATCCATTAAGTTTCCACTAGCCAAACACAACATAAAAGAAACAAAATAAGCATACCATATTCACATAATTTCATAGGTTCTATTACGTTTCTGCAATGAATAAAGAATAGCATTGTCTATGATGTTACTTCTGTTTACAAGAAACCATGGGGGGTTTGGGTTAAAAAAAATCAAGGTTATCAATAACGGATAGCGTTAGCGTAGAGATGAGGCATCGCTAAGGCTATTTGGGACTATTGCGGTAAAATAGCGGTAAAAAGTGCAAAATCAAATAGCGGTCTAATTTACATATGTATAAATACTAAAAAAAGAAAGATTAAAGAAAAATCTAAAAAATCTAAAAGTATATATTTGATGATTTAAAGAGATCCTAAACATGAAATAGATATGTAACAATTACGTAATACCGAAGATGACTGGAGGAGTCAAAGAGTCGTCATCTTCGAGAAGAAGAGCTGAGCGGTGAGAGGACTGCCTTAAGAGGAGCTCACAGTGAAGGAGGTGAGAGGAAGTACTGAGGTAGGTGCCAAAGGCTATGAGAGGTGGCGGGAGTATGCCGAAAATCACAAGAGACGGTGGAATGCAATGGTCAAGGGTCGGGTTTAATTTTAAAAAATAATCCTCAAACCGCTTTTAAATAGCAGTCAAAAAGTGGATTTTACATGCAATCGCCCATTATTTAACATAATGACACACTATTTGCCGCTTTTGCGAACGGAAAGCGCATATTCCGCAATATGTCACCACTATTGGGCAATAGCGTAGCGGGAAGGGACCGCTAACGCTATTAGCGCCGCTATTGCGGAGTTATTTACCGCTATTTTTAACAGTGAAAAAAATCAACAATTTCTATTGACTAATAAACTGGCAGATAGATACATATATCAAATAAAGAATGCTCGGTGGACACAAGTGTTTCTTATAGACAAAGGTTGTCAGTATTAAGTCTCCACCAGAGCAATTAAAATAAGAAACATGCAATCATCTACCTGGTCTTTGTCATCTCACTTATGTGGCTGTTAGAGAATTTATGAGCAATATAAGAAGGATTAGCTGAACATATAACTTCGTATGAGCAAAGTATCAGTTAGTATTAAGGTTGAAATCATCTTTGAAAAAAAAAGATAGAAGTGGTCTGTTGGCTCCTGGCTTCACCTACAGCACAGACTTGAATATAATTCCATATAGAAACTAAAACATCTTTCCTCACATTATATATAACTTTGTATGAGCTAACGTGTCAGGATAAATTGGAATATGCCTCAGCTGTATGATGTCAAGCCCTTCTTCTCCATAGTTTCCTTAAGCGACAATTTGTCACTCAGTAAGATGGCATGCCATATTGACAGCCAACAGGAGAATTGCTCAAGATTTATGGCCTTGAGCTCCATAGATGATTGTGATCTATTTGGGAAAAGGCTGAGTTGATGATGTAAATGATTATCTTTCTTTTCGGGAAACATCGGACCAAAATTGATCAAAATGTATATAGCCAATTTAAATAGCAGGTTCTTTGCCTGTTTTTATTCACTTAACAGGTCAATGCCACACCACAGTGTTGACACATGCAGATGAATATGGATTTACCTTTCTACTGTTGTCAAAATCAAAGAAAAATATAATGTTCAAAGAATAGCTCATTCAGACGTGCAATATCTTTGGAATTGCAGACCAAAAGGAACAAAGTATAAGACATAACATTAAGTTAAAATGAAAATTACAGGCCTTCCAACGGAGCAAAAATGGTTAAAGCATAAAAAACGAAAACGAAGATGCTGTAGAATAAAGAACATACTTCCTCTAAGCCATTGATGCTGTTAGAAGAGCTTGCTTTTATTTTTGAGACAATCATGGAATCCACAGCCCTAGCGTCATGTATGGCAGCACGTACAAATTCTGCCGAAAGAATGCTACAAGAATGAATTTTAACAAGATACATGTTAGACATCATAAATTAAAACACACATCTTATACATAAGCCAAGGCATATTAGCTTGTAGAAAAGAAAAAAAATTCACGTCCTTGTGACATATAACTGATATAAGTTTAAAAAATAGTTGGAGAACAAGGTTGCAAGGGTTATCCTAATTTGCATGTAAATCATCTGAAATAAAAAGGAGACTGAACAGAGACAAGCTTGACTATAGAAAATAAATAAATAGTTCAAAAAATTTGCAAAAAATTCCAAAAGACATGCAAATAACCTATCGGATGTAAGACATCATCTTTAAGAAAATGATGGCATGAGATCAGGAATAAGGTCATTTAAAAAAACCAAGGTTCAAACAATAAGTACGGAGCAAAATATTTAATTTATTAAATAAGTAAGAGATAAACATTAAAAAAAACATCTCCACCTGCTCAAATACAAGCAAGCATCCAGTCCATTTTCAAGCTGACCTTCAGGTTGCACTCCAAAGAAAAGATACATAAAAAAAAGTAAAACTAATATAACAGGCACTTCACTATCCTTTTCTTCAATAATCTCAGAATGATATGACCTCATTAATCTTTAGTACTAAGGAGATAGGAATCAGGGAATGTCAATCATGGGAGTCAGATTCCATAAGGATGGTCTTCATACCACTCTTGTGGCCCATAACAGCCTATGTTGGTCCAGGTCTATTGTGTTACTCGCTAACAGTCTCGCCAAAAAGGGTTAGATCATTGACATGGAAAACTTACTATAATTCTCCAAGTTCAAAGGTGTTCTCTTTCTTTCTTTCTTTGTTTCGTTTTCTCCTTGTTGCCATTTTGCATCCACGCTATCAGATCAGAATAGATGAAGTTCCCATCCCGTTATAGTTTCTCTTCATTAAATCCTAAAATCTTCTTTTCCCCCAAATATTTCTCCTATTTTCATAATTGCTGCAACTTACATCTTCTTCTGTCTATTACTCTCATGGGCATTAAGTTTCTTTTGAGTAATTTAGGTTCGTGTTTCTAGAAGATCTATATTGAAAGTCAAATACTTAGCATTACTTTGCAGCATGGTAAAACAACGGTGGTCGAGCTTTGAAGATGGCTGGTCAAGGTGAAATTAAGGAATGATGAGAGAAGACGGTTTATTATAATTTACCCCTAAATTTGGTAAAGTACAGGGAATGGACACAGGAAAATGGATCAACAGGATAATAGATGAAGCAATATCTGGAAAACAGAGGCAATATTTAGTAAGACGGATGCATAAAGAGTGCAACTTTACCGGTATAGATTCATGCCAAGATAACAAACAAGACTGTTACAGCAAGAGCAAAAAAAGTGAAAATGGTAATATTTGAACCTTTTTCTTTTTTGAACTTCACCTGTTTATTGAATCTAATGATGTTGCCAATTGATTGCGGAGGTGACGAAAACAATGGAGACCAGCAAGCTCATCAGAATCCTGTTACAATGAAAATAAAAGGTATAAAGAGTGCACTGTGATGAAAGCTAGCTCTGAAGTAAACAAATTTGTGTAAAGCAATGACATGTTACTAACATGCATTATTTAGTTACTTGCAGTTTCAGGTTATCAGAAATTTCATGGTTATGATAGTCAAGGATGGCCAACATACATACTGGCCATCTTTAAATTGTATCAATTCCAAAATTGACAACCAATTCAGCCACTGATTGCCAACATACATATTGGCTTGAAAGCAAAAGGAGAGACATACACATGCGAAAACGGACATAGAGCTAAGAACTGAGGTGAGGGGCATAGAGAGAGGGGCAGGGGGGGGGGGGGGGGGATAGGGGAGTCTTTATCATAACCCTCTTCCTATATACCACCACAATGGTATTATCACTTCTTATTATAGAGCTTGCACATGCAACAATGTACCATGAACTAATAGGCTCAAAAATGTTGGACAGGGCTTAGGATGATATATGCATGTTCAATCTAGTTGCAGAATATAGATATGGAGACATAAATTCAATATTCTGATTATTTGTCAATTATCATAATAATAAGATCAATACCCTCTGAAGTGGTAGCAATCTACAACTGCCTACACGGCCACTTAGGTTTAAGTGGTTCCTATGCCGCCTGTCTAAGTCTTGGGAGCTACTAGGGGAGAACAAGCACTTTATACGGGACTATACGGTAATAGAAAGAGATATATTGCTCGCTCAGGCATAATAATGGTCAAAGAGAGTTAGCGAGGTTAAAATTTATCAGAGATGAAAACTCTATGTTCAAGTCTATCTCAAGTAAAATGGTGAGGATATGATTTGAATCTCCGGAAACGATCATTCCTCTCTTGATGTTAAAAACATCTTTGTACCGCTTACGCGTCCACCTAGACACCTAAGCGCTAGGCGCTAGGTTTGGCAGCTAGAAACACCTAGCACTTTCTAAAACATTGGTTGTTGTCAACTGCAGGTAGTGAATCTAACATAAGTTCTCTATCTTTACCAGTGGAATTAGAAGGTTAAGGTTTGGTGTTCAATCCTGATACCTCTTCTTGATTTTTGCAACCTTCAGTTAATGACTTGTCATAACCTTTTATTACCTCGTTCATACATGCCCATACGCAAGATAAAAATTAAAAATTTGAACCCTCATACTTCTTTTTATCATGTGCTTTAGTAATTAGGTCTTAGGAGTGAGATAAAACAAGGTTATTGTCCCAATAAACTTAGATGACTCGTCTTGGTTTCCTCAACCTTGAATTAAAATAGAAAATCGGGTAGTGCCCCTGATTTTTCCTCTGTACAATTTAACAGCTGAAATGATCCAAGGTGTCATGACTTATTTTACATGGTGTCGTATTTTTTATGTATTATGTCCGGCCAAGCCTACAAAGGAAGGCATATATCAATATGAATGATGATCATAATAGACACATACATATAGATATACATAGATACATGAACATATACAGAGAGAAGCTTGACTTCATGAAGGATTTCCCATAAATATTGGCAACTTCGACAGGGATAAAATTAAATGAGAAGCCTTTCAAATAAAAAATGTCAATGAACTTGAGATATCAAAGCTTTCTTCAGATAGAAAATTGGTATGACAATTACGAATTTTATAATTCACCATACTTGACCAATATAATGTTATCATACATTTTTTTCCTTTTACTACAAATCTACAATATTGTTTATCACCATGGATAACTAATACTTCCCAGTCTTATTCCCCTGCATAAGACTTCTTTGGCTCTTCATTTTCTTTCATATTTATATTCCTTTAACAATCCTAATACATCTCCAACGAGACAAATTCACGGAACTAAATGGTGCTCAGTGATTTAGTGATTCAGACTTAGTTGTAATACAGTTTTACGCAAGCTATGAAGCGATGTAAGTATCTGCAGGTTTGATTTTATTGCATTTAGCTTTTAGAAATATTTCAGTTATTGCTGGTTGGTTATTTAGATATATGCATACCTTACACATACGATGCATAGTCTATGCATAACACACAAACACAGATGTACATGTACATGTATATGGATATATACGTATACCCAAATACATAGGCATCCATGAAAATACATATAACCTACATTGTGTTTCTACAGGTACGGATACAGGTACTGATACGGGGCATGGCAAATTTGCAAAGTGTAGGGTACAGGGTCACGACTATATAAATATTTACATACACATATGTTATATATTGAAATTAATAGTTTACATGAGATCAACTTTTTATTAATTCACGTGTTATGAAAATTAAAATTCTTATAAACATTTTTATGTTTCTTTTATGATGCGGATTATAAACTGTAAAAACACTCATTTTTTGAACTAGACACCCAATCAAACGACCATTAAAATCATGGTTTGAAATTCAATGAGTTTAAAGAAGTGGATGTGAAGTGTAGGATTTACATCCAGTAAACGTTTGAAAAGTGTTCTAAATTACAACATGTATTGTTTACTTGAGTACATGCCCGAATAAATGTATGCATATATGCAAAATGTATGCATATATGCAAGGAGTGTCCAAGGAGTTTGAGTACAAGTAATGCTACGTGTCGGGTATGGGTACGGCTTGAAGATAGAAGTACCTAGGTAACATAGCATATCACATATAACTGCACATTTGCATGTAAATATAATTATACTCATGTATATTATATCGAATATATAATCGTGTAAGCAGTTCTAATTATGCAGTTCTATTTATGCAGGTTTGAAGAAATAATTGTGCATGTACTAGAATAGAGCACCCCATACCGTACCCATATCTACGTAAGAGAGTTGATTATTGATTCAAATGTGCCGGGAAGCTTTCCACAAATCAGTAGTTCAGAAAATGCGTTGGAAAAGACTAAAGCAAATGAAAATATAAAATGCTCAATGGCTTATCATATACCCCATGATACAAAAAAATTTCATGAAGCTTAAATCATCTTAGAGAAATAATGCTATTGAAGAAAACACTAAAGCATACTTTCATCCATCATAAAAGAAGAAATTACCAGCAAATGTTGCAAGTCATCAATAACATCCAGAGCACCAGCACAATCTGCTGCTGCAACAAGCTACAAGGACAAAATAAATTCATTATGCAACATGTTTGTGTGAATATATGAATAATGATAATAATTTCATTTCAAATTAAATGTTCCATAAGTTAAGAACCATCATTGAAATTGGTATAACACAGATTCATTATGTCAAAAGTAACAAATATAAACATGTAACACTGAAAAGCAAATGAAAACATAATAAGAAACACTTGTAGTGTAGCATGACTATAAAATAGCAAAGATTTACAGATTATGCTAGGCTTTTTTTGCATGCCTTTTAGGTCATAAAAACCCTTTTTTCAACCTATGTAACATATTTTAAAAAGAAGAAGCAATTAATGATACCTTATTAGTTTTACTGTCTTTTTGTAGTGACCAAATAATGAAGGTTTAATATTGTTTCTTT